GAAAATTATAATTTGTAATTGTTATTTACACTCAATGAGAAAATATTAAATTAACAATTAAATTAAAATCTGTGCAACAGTATTCAAGTGCATGTATTATTCTCGTGTTATTATTATTAAATTATTCTATTATTTTTATTAATGCTACTGAGTGTACCAAGGACAACAAATTGTGATATTGTTATTGTTGGTTATTGTAGAATGTTGATGCAAAAGTTGATCAAATTAGAGATTGAAAGTGGATTTAAAGTGTCTCAAGGATCGACAAGAACGAAACGAATTGTGGTCTAAAAACTATTGCACATTAATCAAAGTCACTTTTATAGCCTGTTATCGTACATCTTCCGGTTTTACCGAAAGCCTCCTTCAAATAGAAATGTCTCAGAGATTACCCATAAATCCCGGATTGCATTTAAATAAGATCGCCCCTCCAACCGAGAATCTAAACACTCCATTACCAAATTTTTATCCGTATCCTCTAATTTATTACATAGATTTGCTCGCACAGTTTCTTTCGAACAACTTTTCAAAAGGGAATATTGTCAAATCGCTTGACAATATCGTCTTATCAACAATCGTCTTATCACCCGTGTTCCAATTAGCGATATTTTAATAAAATCCAGTCATATTGAGGAGGCGTTGGGAAACAGCTGCAAGTGTTCCTCGAAAATGTTTCCTGCTTCTGAGATTACAAATTGTTTCAATAAAGTGTGTTCACCGAAACTTGGCTCGATCGTTAATCAACACTGTTTTTACAGCTTCTTCGTGGTCTGGGGCCAATCATTTGCAACCATTGGAAGTTTAAATTGCTTACCTATTCTCGTTTAAATGCATTTTAGGATTAATTATTATTATTACGCGAAAGAATAGGGATTTGACTTATTCTCATTTATTCTCTTCGTTTATCAATTAATCAAAAAATTCCACATTAAATTTTGTATGCATAAAGCATTGTGTATGCAGCAAACATTTCTTTCACATTATTACATAGAGCACAAAAATCTGAATATTTTTTTCCTCAAAGAAAAACAAATATTAAAAGAATTTTAGATTTCGCCTCCTCAAAAAATGAAAATTGATCGAAACAAGACTCTGCATGCTCTCGATA